TGATTTCCTTGTTTTCTGTGGATTGCAGGCATGAGCAATGTAAACCTTTCTCTGTCTCCGCAAGCTTTTTTTCTGCTCGGCCACGCTGATGTGATAGTTTGTGGCTGCGTGTTAGAATATATGTTGTGGTTAACCCGTGCTCCCGAAACGGCCGTGTGATAGATACGCTCAATCAACACGGGAGGCGCTATTCGGGTTGCGCTCCCAAAAAAAAATGCCCAACATGGGGAAGGAGAGTAGCGGCGTGCATATGGGGTGGCTTCGGTCGCGCCAGCCACCTCCGCCCGATCCCGGCTACGTTCTTTTTGACTTTGTCTTGACACCGTGTGCAGGTGGGTGAGGGAGAAAAGAGTGTGGTAGATGCCGCGCTTGCACTCAGCTTGCTGAAACATGCGACGGACATAGTAAAAACCGGCGGTAAAATGGTCGACCCTTTGTGTTTGCCTGAACCTGCGGACCAAATCTCAACGTCCTTTAGCGCTTGTATTCTCTTCAAGGGCGTTCAGTCGCATTGTGGTAGGATTAGTTGTATTTTTTCGAAAGAATACTAAGAATTTATAGCGTGGCATCTGCCAAGAGGCCGTTAGGACGCATGTACTGCTGAAACCCAAAGTCTTGAGGCGCCTTAGGCCATTGTAATCTCACGATGTCCGAGTGTGCATCAGCTAGGTCGGAAAACCATCGCAGGCCTTCGAGGTGAGTATCATTATTTGAGTTTAGCTGCACTCCTATGGCATATATGCATATAGATGAACATTTTTGTAAACTAAAAAATCTTCAGCTTTTATCTGCGTTGACTGCTCTAAGTTATATACAGTTTCTGAGGTTGTCACCCTGAGCTCAAATCCGTCCGTTTTCAGAGTGTTCGACTATTTCCGCACGAATGCTACCCTTGCGATACTAACCGTCAATGCGTTTAATTTGGTGCTTTGGGAATTTTTCACAATTACCGCACCAGTTGTGGTATTAAGAGTCGTTATTCCAAATAAGTACAAAGCTTATGCAAATTACGCTTGTTCCCCTCAATCTTCGTGTGCGTCTTGTTGTCAGACTGTGCACCCTACTTTTAATAATTTAGTACGAATTGTATATAATTTTATTGCAACTATCGAGTTATTATACCACTCGCTTCTTTGATTTTTCACATTTGTTTTTTTTTTCGCAGGAAGAGCGGACTGTACTGGAATCAATATACACCCCAGAAGAACTCTCCATTAGTCCCGATTACACCGTCACATTTCACGTTGGTTATCCCTGTATACATGATGACTGGTTAGTTAAATGATCCTGGGTCGTCCGACTCATTCGTCGTGAACATTACATGGCCAAAAAGCTATCCCTTCGAAATCCCGTCAGTTGATCTTGACGCCTTCTGCAATCGGCACCTTCCCCAAACGCTTAAGGAAAAGATTATTAACGAACTTAATGATTTAGCCAAAGTCAACACAGGAGAGCCATTGACATTTACACTTATCGAACACCTTCGCGAAAACGCTGCAAGCTACTTTGAAGAAATAAAATTAGCAAGATCTGTTGCATCTGCTCAAAGAAATTCAGAACCGGTAAGTGATTTTATATCGGCCTTAACAAAACTTTAGACGAAAGAAAGATCTGCAAAAGGGCCAGCCTTGACGAAATCTCAGAAACGAAGACAAGTTAATCGCCTTGACGCGTCTGGAAACCTTCCGCGAGGATGGAATTGGGTCGATGTTGTTAAACATCTGCGTCAGACAGGCTCGCAAGAGGTGGACAATTTGTGACTTGTGACATTTTACCTGAGATGGCCAATAATCTGAGTTCCTTCCCAAAACTGTCGAGTTCCCGCACTGGTTGAACTATTTTGACGTCATTTTTGATTTAAGTAAACATGTTAGGGTTACATTCTTACTTATTAATCGATTTCGCACGACATCATTTTAATGAACTGTTGCTGGTGTCAATCAGACACAACTGACCTTTGCGAAGGACGAAATCCGGTTTCGTTTAACATCGGGGATAGTCAAGCACGAAGGCTGAAACCATTTCTACTTTTTACGGTTGTGGAAAATGAAATCGGATGGGTTTTTAATAAGACTTTTTGCTTTCGATGGATTCGGACTGTTCACTTGCGCGACCACACCTCGGAAGTACTGAGACCATTTTCAGATTTTTACCGGTCAAATGAGAACGGCGCTCGCCAACTTCGCCTGCTTGGAGAATTTATTCTGAATATTCGTCTCTGGACAATTTTCTGTCATCGGGAGTTAACAGAGAACAACACCGATTACACTCGTCTGCCTGTGACTAACGAATAGCTGAGCTGCGAGTGGACAGATACTTCTAATGCGGTATTAAGGGTATTTGACACACGAACCTCTAGAAGACCGGCAGGCCTTCTGGAAACTAGAAACACTGAAAATAGATATGATTTTCATAAACAAGGTTATTACGAGAGAAACAGTGGGCTTTCCAACTTCGAAGTGTACGGTAAGCGAATTCACGAAGTGGTGGACGCTGAATTCGCTCCGCATGGAAACTGGGCCACTTCTACTAGAATCAAGATCTGTAGCTAAGGAAATTAGTCAAGAGCCTGCAAGTCGTGTTCCGTAGTCGTTAATTGGGCTTTTATTGGATATAGCAATGCGTAGGAATTTATTATGGATGGAGTCGTTTACTGAATCGCATCTGCGTGCTGTCCATACTCCTCAAAACTAATAAGTTCTTCATTTCTGCACTTGGTAGGTTCCAGGTACAATATTCCCTCCTGCTCCACGAGGATACCTCTGCCAAAGGGGCTGAAATCCGAGTCCC